GTGGAAATGCCAATCCCTTCAGTTTCCTCTGAACAGTTGGAAGAAATGCGAATGAAAGGAAATGATTTGTTTAAAAATGGGTTTTACAATGATGCATTAAAAATCTATTCTGACGTCATTGACATATCAAAGAATACAGCTTTCTTTGATGTTAGGTTGTTAAGTAATCGAGCATCGGTATATCTTAAGCTTGGGCAATATGATGAAGCCTTGCAAGATGCAGAAGAATACATTTTACAATGCCCAAAATGTTGGAGAGGTTATGCGAAAAAGGCACTGGCTCTTGTTGAGTTGAAGAATATGCAGGATGCGTGTGTTGCAGCTTCGATAGCATATTACTACGAGAGGAATTTATTCCATAATTTTGAACCTTTTAGGATAATATTTGGCTCTTCAATGGAGAAGCGTCTGTTTGTTTGCCGCGATACCTTAAGTTTGTCAAATGCCTTGAGGACGATAAGAACTTTGAATCACTGGCAGAATCTATTACCGGTTATCATTCTAGAAAACGGTGATTACCTTGTTTCCTTACACACTATTGATTGCGACCTATTTCTTAGTGATGGTAAGGTAAATGAGCTTCTCATTAAAAATTGCATTCTTGTGGGCGGTGAAGGTGAATGTTCGATAATATTTGATGATAATCACTGTGTAGGTTTTGCTGAAGTTTTTAAAGCTTACAATGTTAGTTTTCGTACTCGCTTTTCTAACTGTCATTTTCTACCTGACTCAGTTGTGAAACTCACTCATTGTTCGTTTCAGAGTTCCAACAATTCTTACACTTCTTTTTCTTGCTTTGGTGAATTGAAAGTCGATTCTTGCAAGTTCTATAATTGCACCAACGGTGGGCTGCTGGTTGTAGGTGATGCGGAGGTTGAAAATTCAACGTTTTTTGGTAACGGAGTGGCTTTAGAAGTGCGAGAAGGAGGACGTTTGCTTGTAAGAAAAAGTAGAATGTACGGCAATAAGCGGCAAGGATTGCTGATTGGTCCAAAAGCAAAGGAATGTGTTGTGGAAGATTGTGAGCTTTATGACAACGAGCTGAGTGGTATTCTTGTTGTTAATTGTGCATCTGATGTGATAATAAAGGGGAACCGTATTTATGATAACGACGAGTCTGGGATAACAGTGATTATAAATTCAAATGTATCTATAATTGAGAACAAGATCTTAAAAAACAGTCGTTGGGGCATAGATATCACTTCCAGTCGGGCTGTCATAAAGGAAAATAAACTCCATAATAACCAGTGCGGTGGCATTTGTGTAGAAAACAGTTGTTCGAGCGGGATGTCTGTTATTGAATACAATGACATTTGTAATAATTGTGGACCTGGGATTTGCGATGATGAACAGTTATCTAAAGCCAGTGAAAATAAGTTTCAGAATAACAAAGAAAAGAGGAATCAATCAACAGCACAAAGTGAAGCCAAGTTATGCTACTACTGCAAAAAGCCTGAAAACAAATTGAAGCAATGCACCAATTGCTTTACGGCTCAATACTGTGGAAGAAAATGCCAGAAAAGTGATTGGAAAAACCACAAGAAGGTGTGTGATCGCTTTTTATCTGATGGAAGTATTGTTGTAAACTATGTTCGAAAACCAATAATGACAGAACATTTATCTCCTAATAAACACGATCCATTTAAGACATCAGAGCGAGCACCAGGCCTTCTTCCCGTCGGTCCACAATACTGTCCGCCACCAAATACGACGACAAGGTTTATCGTGAAAATATCCGCGGGCGAAGTGGATAGGGATAGAGAAGATTTCAACCCTTCCGTTGTTCGTCTGTACGATCGCAGTCTGAAGATAGATGGGATTCTGACTGACGCTGATCAAATTCGCCATCTTGTCTGGCAGCATGGCGCAATGGGTCAATTGTACAACTTTTTCAAAAAACTGTTCATGTGGGCTAAAGGCCCCGAACATGGGAAACTTCGTGTTTTTACTAACGAGTTTCCTCCATATCAACACTGGTGATGTACATTGGTGATGTGAAGTGAGACATAATTCGCGAATGCAATTGAATGCAATGTTGCCGTAATTTCACGGCATGAAGCATGCATGTGCAGTATTCCTCTAATGAACGTAACAATCGTGGGTTTATAGATTTTTAGCCAAGTTTGGCCATTAGGTTATTGGATAGTTTAATGTAATTAACAAACTCAAATTCAAATGTATCTAACATAGAGAACAATATTTCAAAAAAACAGTCAGTCTTTTTGTGTGAAGTTTGCAAAGGGCTTAGAGCAATTTTTTACCAAGTTTCTGGCGTTAGTTTTGACGTTTTGTACTAGCTATATAAAGTATAACCTGCATGTTTGTTTCAAAGTTGATGTAACATTTAATGAATGTTTCTGCAGGACAAGATATTCGTCAGACATATGATTGCAGTGTACCATTCGCTGGATAATGGATCAGACTATTGGCAGTACTTGAAAGTGTAAAAAAATTACCGCTTGTATCAATGTGCATCTAAGATATAGCGAATTTACTTTCAGTGGTGGATACTTGAGAAATATTGGGAGAAGAACGAATTACATGGTGCCCCCCCAAAAATGCCCCTTACTATTATATACTTGATGGTATTACAACGTTAACTTTAGTACGTAGAAGTTTCAGACGAGATGAAATAACTATCCAACCAAAATAACCGAACTTCTTGCGTTCAAGAATCACTTCAGGTGGCAATACCGATATTCTAACTTGTCCAAATATGCAAATTATATAAAATGATGGAATTTTTTTATGAAATTAAATAACTAACTAGGGGTTACTATCGCAAGGAAAATGCTGCTTTGGATCCACAGGCGAATACTGAAACGTCAAATATATCTGAAAACTAAATACAAAATTATTTTCATTTGGCTTAAAATACATTTACATGTACCCATCTGGGCAACCAAGAGGGGAGGGGGGGGAGGGGAATTGGCATGAATTTCCCTGGGCTCCACCTTAATAGGGCCCCAACTTGAGAGCGAAAGCCTAAAATTGAGTAGGTTCTTTAAATTGGTCAGATAATTTTTGAAATTGAGGGCCCCTTACAGTACCTTCACATGCAGTCTAGTTAAGGTCTAGTTGGGTCTAGCTAAATAGAAATAATGATTTAATGGGGCCCCCAGGGAAGATTTGTCCTGAGCCCCACAAATTCCCTGGGCGGCCCTGGTACCCACACAATGAAACACTGCATGTACGATTTATTTCATTTCAAAAATTGAGATTACAACACTTCAAAAACTGACTGTACAAAAAACTATTTCAAGTTTACAAACTAACATATTCAACATATACAAATTAAAAGAAGAGAAGGAAGAAGAGAATGAAGAAAAAGACATGTAGACTAAGTGCACAAAATACAAACATACAATACACACACGGTAGAAGTAAACAGACTCAGACAGAAATGACGATGAACATAAAAGTACATGAGCACACAAAGGCACGCAATTTGCATTTTTTGAAAGAAATAGGACTGGAAAATATGTCAGACTTCTTTACATAGAACATTCCAGGGTTTGACAATACAATCTTAAAGAAAGAAAATTGAAAAGTACATGTAGTTGAACAGAGGAGTTTGAAAGACAGCACTAGCAACCTGACTAAGTTGTGTACAACCATGTTCAACAAAAGACACAGAAGTCATAACTGTTCATGTTAATGTCCATATCCCCCCTCCCATGGATGAGGTCAGTAAAATTTTAACCCCTAAAAAACCCTCACAAATGTGTAAATTTTCCCCAATACCCCAAATACAAATTGAACGGGTAAGATACGAAAATATACCCCGAGAAGAACGTATCTGTAAACTATGTGATTCTGGCGAAGTGGAAAACGAATTTCATTTCGCCGTCGCATGCCAAAATTACCAACACTTACGAGACAACTCAAACAACATTCTCAAAAACATGTTAATTTGATCTCAAAATAACAAAAGAAACTAAACAAAAATTACTACAACACACGATGTCATCGGACGATCCTGTTTTAGTAAATCTATTTTCTAATTATTTATTTCTCTGCACAAAAGAAAGAGAAGATAGCCTCAAATCTCTGGTAACCCAAAACAACCCAAAAACAAATTAGTCTTAGTCTATATTTTTACTATACAAATTATTTTAATTTGTATAAAAAAAAGGGAAACCTCTTAAATGACTGCACACGTCGTAGTCGTAATTAACACTTTATTTCGAATGCTCTATAAACCATACATGTATATATTTGTATCTATACATATATATGGCAAAAATGAACAAAAAACACTTTAATTTCAATATATATAAAAATCAAAATGTAAATCTATATCCTTTTATATATTATCTATTTTTCATTATCTATACCGTCCATTCTATATGTACTATACTTTATATACTTTTTTCTATTCTAGCAATACCTGTAAATAGGTCATGCATTTGAATAAATAATATTTTTTTACCCCTTAGAAAAATTGCAGAGATCAAAGGATGCCGATAGGCTTAACCTCAGAAACAACTTCAAATGTAGTCACCCTTCAGAAAAATCCATCCATAGGAGTGGACATTAAATGGAATGGCCCATAGCGTCTTGCCTCTGACATGACAGAGGGATAGAAGTTACAATGTCCATCTCTCCTTAAAATTATTAAAGGTGCCCTACAGTCCGATCTGCGCATGTGCACAAATGAGCCCACCTTTTATGATACAAACAGTTTAACTATGTTTTGGGTTCTTGCAAAGCCTGATTGTTGTTTCTTGATCATTTATTATACTCTAGAAGGTTGAAAATATAAATAGTTGTCGAATAAAGCTCAATATTTTGGACACAAGAATGTAAACAAAGGCTTTGTTTACATACGGACTGTAGATCACCTTTAAATGCCATTTCTCAACAATTATCCATTTCTGTCTATATTTTTTTGAAGTAACAATCCATAGAATATTCGAGCTGTCCAGGATGGCACGACTTGTTGGCGTAACTGTATAAATCAGTACATAAATTCCAATGACTTTATGCCTGCATGTGTATGCTTCAATGGACTCCAGTCACTCCACCACAAATATGGGCCATAGACATATTTTACTACTAAGGTTCCAATGACCAGATGTTATCTGAAGTAACACAATTTGGAATGGAAATTAAATATACACTCTATAATCTATATATACAGTTCACTGGATATTATAGAGTTCACTGACGCTGGGATTGAGAAGATATTTCACTAATTTCAGGATGATTGAATGAAATACGAATATGCAAAATAAAATGCAAAATAAATGCAAATTAATCTGTGTATTGAGCAATTATGATCAACTATTTAGACTCAATACGTTAACTGGCAAAAAAAGAACATTCACAAAGTAAACAGAGCTTGTAAATATATATATAAAGTTGGATTTTACTCAACTTACCTCGAAACATGTAACTCTCTGACAGCTCTCCGAAAAAGGACTCAAACTCTCAAAGGAGTTCGGGAAGCATCGATAAAAAAGAACCGCACCCCCCGCTTTTTATAATAACTTTGCATACTTAAATACCTCCGGTTTGAAAATCCGGACATCCATTTGAAAGTCCAAGTCGAGATTTGGAACGGCTTTACATAACTGGGCCAAAGACACTGTGCACGAGTGAATGCGAAGAACTTCATGTTACGTCAAGAATAGTGTGCTGCTTGCCTAAGGGCAAACAGCAATTACTTTCGATCAAGTTTATCATTTGAAAGTTGCACCTTAACATTTCAATACTGTTCATGTGTCTTCTTACACCATTATTCTTTATTCAGGTTTTTGCCCTACAAACCAGAAATTTGAGGGCATTTTCACTAATTAATTTCTGCCTAAGCTTCAGACTCATTTTAAGTAAGTTTTATATCAAACAAAATCTGTAATGTTCGGGAACACAAACCATGTCTTTAACAGTAGACAGGTGGGAATTCTCTTTAAAGTTCCCTTTTTAAAAGCCTGAAATACTTTTGGCCTAATTTCTATAATTCGGACCAGTAGAAATATTGGTGTCGAAGTGCCTACAGTATATATCACTTGTGGGATTTTTATGGATTTGAAGATATTAAAAATTTCGTCAAGATCTAAAGCTTTTTTGATTTAGTGCAATAGTTTTGAGGATATAGGCCTTTAAACAACTGACTGTTCCTGAGTCCCAGCCTACTGGGGTTTAAACACGGCTATTGAATTTCGCCTTTTTCGAAACTGCCATTGTGCATAGAAGCCTTCGAAATTATTGCACTAAATCAAAAAAATCTTTTGAACTTATTAACTAATTTTACGCTCTTTTCAAATTCATAAAGGTCCAACAAATGGTTGTGTTCAAGGTGCATACTAATAGGGGGAAGCGGCTTTTATATATTTGTATTTTATGTATGTCTGTATTTATATTTATGTACGTATTTCGCTGCTTCGGGGTTTGCACCTTGCATGGGACTTCGCGTCCCGTTTGTGCTTATGCCATTTGAGTTCATATTAATTATACATAATATTAATTATATATATTTATATATAATATTAATTATGTAATGTAATGTTGTCAATAAATATATTGGGGATAAAAACAAAAACAAAAAAGAACAAGTGATATTGGCACTTTAATTAACTGAATCTAGAAGGCAAAAAGTTGGTTTTTTTTTATCAAGTATCAATGGATTAAAACGACAGGATAATATTATCTAGTATAGAAATCTGAAACTTTTATCAAAGCAGACATTGCAATACCACAAAGCACAGTGGGGGCATTTTTTGGGACACCCTGTAAGTTGACAACATATTACACCCTTTTGCAGCTGGAAGCCTGGAAATCTCAGTTCTCCGCTAAACTTTGTCGCTTGAAAGTCCACCCCCCCCCCCCAGTGTCCGACACTGTTTACCTTTTACTTTTTAGTCCCAGTGATCTTATGTTGTATTACGAGGAAATGATTAAAAATAATAGTAAGACCGATATACTGTAAATATTGATCTTTTCGAAAATTTGAAAAGTAATAAATAATGTCAAAATAC